TCTTCTGTTGGCCTCCGTTGGCCTCTGTTGTCTTCTGTTGGCCTCCGTTGGCCTCTGTTGTCTTTTTTTGACCTCTGTTGGCTTCTGTTGGCCTCTGCTGGCCTTTGTAGGCCTATGTCAGTCCCTGATGGCCTCTGTTGGCCTATAGTGGTCCCTGTTTGCCTCTGTTGGCCTCTGTTGGCTTCTGTTGGCCTCTGCTGGCCTTTGTAGGCCTATGTCAGTCCCTGATGGCCTCTGTTGGCCTATAGTGGTCCCTGTTTGCCTCTGTTGGCCTCTGTTGGCTTCTGTTGGCGTCTGTTGGATTCTGTTGGCCTCTTTTGGCCTCTGTTGGCTTCTGTTGGCCTCAGTTTGCCTCTGTTTTCTTCTGTTGGCTTCTGTTGGCCTCTGTTGTCTTCTGTTGGCTTCTGTTGGCCTCTGTTGGTCCCTTTTTTCCTCTGTTGGCCTCTGTTGGCCTCGGTTAGCTTCTGTTAGCCTCTGTTGCCCTCAGTTGGCTTCTGTTGGCCTCTGTTAGCCTCTGTTAGCCTCTGTTGGCCTATGTAGGCCCATGTTGGCCCATTTTGAACTGCCAGCGACTTTTATGAAATAAACACCAGAAACACTATGAAGGCAGGAAACTAAGCCAAAGGTTATTACAGCACAACTATATGCCCGAAAGTCCAGTCCCTAGTCAAGTCTAACATGTCCTAAATCCAAATTTCATGTTTCAGTTAAGCTGCGTTAAGAAGGAACCCATCTTTGATGACCAGAGCCAAATTTAAAGGTTTTATATATATATATATATATATATATATATATATATATATGTATGTATATATATATATATATATATGTATATGTATAGGTATAGGAGTGAGACAGACGGTGCTTAGCAATACAACTCCTGCTATGGATGCCAAGTGACAGTTGCTTGAAACCTGAGCTTTTGCAACAACCAATGAGGGACTGGATGTGGCTGTGATGGAGGAGCGCAGTGCAGAATAAGCTTTTTCCTTCCCAATGGAAAATAGAAGAAATAATGTTGAAAAGAAAGGATCCAGTTTTGTTTGAGGACATCTCCGTATCCATTACCTGCTCATCAGAAGGACTGGAATAAATGATGACTAGA